TTTGAATTTCATTCTAAACCAATTGTCTGAACCAGAAATGAGCTTCAGATTCACTTGTATATTTGAACTTTCAAGTATAAGTATGTCCAATTTATCACTGGAGATTTTGATTTAGTAAGTCCACTGTGGGATTTAGGCATCTATATGTGGTCAAATTTCACAAGTGATTCACATGTGCTCTCAAATCATTACTATAAGTAATAAATGACTCTCATTTGAAAAATAAAACCTTTAACAGTATCGTAAGATGCTCTGGTGGTATAGTGATTAAGACATTTGGCTGCTAACCAAAAGATCAGTGACTTGAACCCATCAGCCACTCTGCAGAAGAAAGACAAGGCAGCCTGCTTCTGTAAAGATTTACAGCTTTGGAAACCCAATGGGGGTCACTGTGAGTTGGGATCAACTGTAAAGCAGTGAGTTTGGTTTGGTTTTGGTTTTAATAACACCTTATCACTATGGCTATACGATGTTATTAAAGCTTTTATTTTTAAGGTAAGAGTCATATTCAGATTCATTTTGAAAGATAGCTCTGATGGCAATATAATGGATGATCTGAGAGAATGGGACCTGGAGGTAAGAAAACAAGAGAGGAGGTTTCTAAAATGGATATTAGCTAATGGCAGTCTGGATTAACACAGCAGAAACAGGAGCAAAGGAAAGAAAGAAATTGGAGACACAATTAGAAAGTCAAAATTACTGGTCTTTAAGGTTGTTGTCAAATTGGCTGGGCCTGGCTGAGTGACTGGGCAGCTGGATGTAGTTATTCCTCATGGTAAGATTGGCCATCAACTCCATGGTGGAATCTACTGGAGCAGCTGAGTAGCTGCCTTAGGGATGTGGGCTGCTTCCAGTGTATAAGAAGCAGCTTTGTGGATGGTCTTTTTGACATGCTTGAATGCTATATATAGCCAAGTTGTTGTTTAGCAGCCTGTAATGTCCTGCCAATCTTGGGACTTCTCCTGTACTTGAATTAGTGGCCTGCCACAAATGGGTACCATTGGGACTGTGCCTTTTTACTTGTCAACCTTGAGTTTGTCAGCCTCAGCAGCCAGCAGCTGTTTTAGTGAAGAAAAACCTCCAGCTTCTATGGGCCGCGAGCAGGAGGCAGAGCTGAAGCCCAAGGTTGAGGGGCTTTCACCCAGCCCTTAGAGCCTGACACTTTGAACTCAGATTTAAAGCCTCCAAACTCTAAGAGAAGAAACTCCTGTTTGTTAAAGCCATCCCATTCATGGTATATTCATGTCAGAGCACCACTAGGTAACCAAACCAGACTTCTCAATTAACAAGAAGTGAAGGGTAAATTAACTGAGACAATAAATACTGGCACAGGTACAAAACACAATGTCTGTAAATTGATTCTCAAAGAGTAGGTGCTCGATACATATTTGTTAAATGAATAAAATAACCAAATAAGCCAGTAATGATATAATGGTGGATTAAAAAAAATCAGTGAGGATTAGTTTGTAAGTGTTTTGACAGATCTATTATACGTAGGTTGGCAAGGAGTTCTGGTGGTGTAGTGCATAAAGCATCTGGATGCTAACCATAAGGTTAGTGGTTCAAACCCGCCAGCTGCTCTGCAGGAGGAAGATGAGGCAATCTACTTCTGTAAAGATTTACAGCCCCTTGGAAACCCAGTGGGGTCGCTGTGAGTTGGAATTGATTTGATGATGGTGGGTTTGGTTTTATTTTTTTTTTGTTCTTTTGTTTCTTTTGGGGGGTATATGGTTGGCAGTGTACGTGGAAAGTTGTGAAAGATATGCAAAGCAGAAGGCCCCAAAAAAGAAACAAAAAGCAAAACTTTTAAAGTATATGCTAGGTTCCAAAAGCAGTGAACGGTCCAGTTTGGTTGTAGAATGGCAAGAGATGGGTTTCAAAAGATACAATGAGGCCATGAAGTGATATGTCTGAAACTCAGGCTGAGGACATTTTAATTAATTCACAAGCAATGGTGAGTCATGGGAAGCTTTTGAGCAATGGTGTTCCATGATCTTCAGGATCAGGCTATTTTTGAAGAACCTTATAGCATTGATGGATAGGATAGAATGAGACAGAAGTCTAAAAAAAAAAAAACAAACCCACTGCCATCGAGTCAATTCTAACTCAAGGCAATATCACAGGACAGAGCAGAACTGCCCCATCAGGTTTCCAAGGCTATGAATCTTTACAGAAGCAGACTGCCTCATCTTTCTCCCGTGGAGTGGCTGGTCAGTTCAAACTGCCAGTCTTCTGGTTAGCAGCACAGTGCTTTCACCACAGCACCACCAGAGCTCCTGGAAGAACTCTGAGGGGATAAAAATTGGTTAAAAGATTACAGTGAAAGTAGAATCAAAAGGTAATAAGAAACTGAACAAGGATGGTCACAGAAGGAATGAAAAGGTAAGAGCATATTCAAAGGATATTCAGAAATATTAATATGCAAGATCAGGACTCAGATTGGGATGGCTGGAAATTAGAGTTGGATTCAGGTTGGACTCTGGATGATGTAAAGGAATGAGGTTTCAAAGAACAGGAATAATGATGCTAGGTGGTAAGTAGTTTCTGGTGATGATAATTGATTCTGAGGTGCCAGCAGGATGTCCAGGTGGAGAAATATTTTTGGCACCTCGAAAGGCAAACACTGCAGTTTAGAAGACAGATCGGGAGCCAAAATTTAAATTTTGGAGCCATCTGGGTGTAAGTGATAAATGAAGCTGTGTGAGTGGATAAGATTGCCAAGGAAACAAAGAATAAACCCAAGAAAAAGCCACAGGGGCACACCTACTTACGGTTGGGTGGGGGAGGAAGTGAGATCTAGAATGGGCAAAAAGGAGCTGTCAGAGAAAGAAAAAAATAATAATCTGGAAAATGCAGCCTCTCAGAAAACAAGAAATAGAGCTTCAAAAGAAAGAGTAGACAATAATAATAAAGATAAGGATAACAATAATTACAGAATTTGAAGAGGAAGAAGAAGACTGAGAAAGGGCAGATGGTCCTGTTGACATATGAGGAAGCACTGATGGGATGGAAGCCAGATTGACTGGGAGGAGGGCATGAAGAAGCTGAACTCTTCCTTATCATTTTTGATACTAGAGTCAAGGGTACTGACAGCATGAGTCCTGGCATTGTTGCCATTTGCTTTTATAGAGCTCTGTGTATTCTTCAATGTAATCTCAGTAATCAATTAATTGAAATAGTAGGGCAGGAAGAACTGTGGGTGCAAACATCATTTGACACCCTAAAGATCTGGAAGCCCATTCATAAACATTTCCTGCCTAGGAGCACTGTTCCCTGAAAGGAAACAGTGAAACTCAAAATTACCATTTCACGCGATAATATGTGTGTCATTGCTATGTGTGGCAATTAACTAGCTATCACAATTCTACTTATTGAACAAATCTCTTTTGTCACTAATTTAAAATCAACTTTTATCAGAAATTAAATTCATTTATACATTTGTATCTATCTCTGGACTCTCTGTTTCATTCCATTTTGTACCAAACCCTGTTGGTGTTGGGATCTCTGAATTTGTGAATTGACAAGAACCAACATTTTGATAATATTGCATCTACTAAAGGGAAGGGTAGTTAAACCTCCTCTTTATGTCCTTCAGTGAAAAATAGTTTTTGTTTTCACAGAGGTCCTAAACCTTTTCTATAACTACACATTTTCTTTTTGAATTGCTATTGTAAATAGTTATTTCTTGAAACGTGTATGTGAGTGTATATAAGGAAAATGTAGATACTTTCTCAGATGGACATTTAAAATGAAAAATAATCGAAAGTAAATTAAAGTTTTTATAGCATCTGTCCCTCAGTAAGCTGATATACATGTAAAAGAAAAAAAAAAAAAAAAGAAAACTTGAATGATATTGTTATGGGAAACAGAAAAATGAATGATCTCATTTCACCTGTGTATTATAATTTTCCCTTACATAGGCAGTGTTTCTTTCTGCTGTGCATGGGGTCGCTATGAGTCGGAAACGACTCGACAGCACTTAACAACAACAACATAACTTATATAGACGCACTGTGACTGTATTTCTGTATTTGGAGTTACAATGTGGTGTCTGTTCAGTACTTGTCATTATTTTCACCCACCTCAGGGGGATTGCATTTTCCTCCTAACGTCACACAAAGCTCCACTTAAGACTCCAGGTCTTTCTACAGAAAATCAACCCCCTTTAGCCCCATTGCTTTGTTTCATTACCATCAAATCTTCTCTATCTCTTCCCAAGTCACTGATGGGATATGAGGAAGAAAGCTGCAGTCATAGCAGTAATCACTCCCCTGCAAGTAACACTGATCACATAGATTTACCTTCACATGGTTTCATGTAGTATGATCAGAAAGGGTTTTGGTTTTATCTTTTCCTTCATCCCTGTCATTTGAAACTGTGATTTTAAAGAACCTATTTAACAATTCTTCTAGACTAGGAGTCAGCACACTTTTCTCTAAAGAGCTAAATTGTAAATGTTTTGGGCTTTACAGGCCATATGGCTTCTGTTGCAATGACTCAATTCTGCTTTTGTAGGGTGAAAGCAGCCCTAGACAATAAACAAAAGGGACTAGCTGTGTTCTAATAAAATTGTACCTAAAAAAAAAAAAAAAAAAAAAAACCAAAACAGGTGGCACGCTGAATTTGGCTCAAAGGGGGATTTGGCCCATGGGCTGTAGTTTGTCAATATCTATTCTAGACCAATAAATTTCCAAACCATTCATTATTTGCATTTAAAAAAATCAAAAGCAATGTACTACTCTCCATGGAACTTAGGATGACAGGATGCTAAGCATTAGAATTGACAAAATATAGAAAGAAGTCATCAAAATAATTTGTCATCAATCACTACATAAGAGTTCCAAGCATAACTAGCATTTGTTTGTTTTACAAAGGACAAGTGGGACTGCAGAGTATAATAAATACACACATTGCATTACAACATGGTAACCGCTTTGGGGAAGAAGAGAGAGTTGAATGAAAAACTATCATTAGTAATGGAAACATTTGCTCTTACTTACCAATCCTGTACTGCGTTGAAGGATTCTTCATTTGTGATGTCATACATTAAAATAAAGCCCATGGCCCCACGATAATAAGCAGTGGTAATAGTCCTGTATCTTTCCTGGCCTGCTGTGTCCTAAAAAAAACAATAATAATATCTCAAAAAAAGGCAACACATCTTTTGAGAAGTGAGTCATAATTTTGAGAAGTCATAACCCAAATTCTAAAATGTACTTGCAAAATATAACCATGTCTTTTTTAGTCTTTTTTTCCTAATGATCTTCAATATGATAGCTCTGCAATACTGTGAAAAATTCTTTTTTTTTTCTCTTGGTAAAGATCTAGCTAAAAGTACCTTATACTTCTGTACACTCCTACCAAGTAGCATCTAACTACAGCAAAGGGAGCTCTGGTGGCATAGTGCTTAAGGTATGTGACTGCTAACCAGAACAGTGGTGGTTCAAACCCACCAGCCACTCCTTGGAAGGAAGACTGAGCAATCTGCTTCCATAGTGATACTACCTCAGAAACCCAAGGAGGGGTCACTGAGTTGGATCCAACTTGACGGCAGTGAGTTTTTTGTTTTTGAACTACAGAAAGAAAGAGTCCCTGGGTGGTACAGGTTAATATGCTCATTACTAACTGAAAGGATGATGGTTCAAATCCACCGAGGTGTGCCTCAGATGAAAGGCTGGGTGATCTACTTCCGAAAAATCAGCCCCTGCAAATCCTGTGGAGCACAGTGCTCCTCTGAGACACACAGGGTCTCCCTGCTTCAGAATCAACTCTTGGCAACTAGCTTAGTTATAAAAGAGGAGTCTCTGAGTGGAGCAAGAGGAGAGCTTGTGGTGCAGTGGTTAAAGGGCTCATCTACTAACCAAATAGTTGGCAGTTCGAACCCGCCAACTGCTCTGTGGAAGAAAGATGTGGCAGTCTGCTTTCATAAAGACGTACAGCCTTGGGCACCCTGTGGGGCAGTTCTACTCTGTTCTATAGGGAGTTCTGAGTTAGAATTGACTCCTTGGCAGTGAGTTTTGGTGACTTGGGGGTGAAGCAAATGGTTAACAAACTTGCCTTGTTTGATAATGAAAGCTTGGAGGTTTGAATATGCTGTGGAACAGAGCTGCCATGAGTTAAAGTCTACTTGACAGCAATTGTTCTTTTGTCTTAAATGAAAGTAATTTGAATGACACAGGACTGGCTCCTTTACTATGAAAATAAAATTAGCATGTTGTGGATGTCACTGGTTGGACAGGGACACAATGAATATGTGTTTCCTCACCCACAGGTGTCCTCCTGCTTGATGCTTCATTCCACCAATGACCCACACTGATAACTCAAAATTGCTTACAATTCTGCAGGATATATCTAATTTGACCCCCAAAAGTTCAGAGAATGGTGAGGAAAGAAGGCTGGGGAAACTAGAGAATGATTCCGAGAACATATAGGATGTGGAATGGAACTAGAAACTGACCAAGGTTGTGACTTTTTATGAAGCCAGCAATAATTCCATTCTACTCTTAGAGCAGGGATAAGGCTGGCCTAATTCGCAGGTACATGTTAGGTAGTGTTAAGGAAATAAGGATTCACAGGTAGAATGAGAATAGATCATAGTACCGCAAATAGCAGAAATAAAGCAAAACAAGTGAGAAGGATCTTTTAGAATATAACACCAATGGCAGGAAACAAAATACAGATCTCAAAATATAAAATTTTGACAATTTTTTTGTATTGTGATCTGGGTGAAAGTTTACAGAGCAAATTCATTTTCCATACAGCAGTCCACATACATTTTGTCTCATGACATTGACTATAATTTACCACAATGAAACAGCTCTCCTCCCACTTCCTCCCCATAGTTACCTCTTCCCTGTGTCCTTCCCTCCATGCCCTCCTGCCCCCTGAGCTGTCTTCCTGTGCATACACAGCCCTTCTATTCTCCCATGATTGTTCTCTCCAACGAGTGTATCTACCTAATGTAAATGTTCAGCTCATATGCCTGTCATTTGTTTGGCTGGAATCCACAGGAGTGGGGTCAATTCTAGACCTGAAGGGCAGCTAGGGGCCATAGTCTCAGTGATTCCATCAGGCTCTATCAGACTAGTAAACCTGGTACTTTTTTTTTTTTTTTTCCCCAAATGATTTTGAGTTTTATTCTACATTGTTTTCCCACTCTATCCAGGATCTCCTACATAGATCCCCCTTCTAGTGGTTGACGGTAGTAGCAGGGCACCATCTGTTTCTTCTGGTCTCACAGTCATATAGGCTGAGGATTGCATGGTGTACTAGTCGTGTGGAATAATTGTTTCCATGAATCTTTGATTTTTCTTCATTCTTTTTTACTCTGGATGAGGAGAGACCCATCATTGCATCTAGTTGGTCGTTTGCAAGCTTTTAAGATCCCAGTCATTACTCACTAAAGTAGGAGGTGGAACAATGTTTTTTACAGTATGTTATGTCAATTGAGCTTGATGTCCCCTGAGACCATGGTCCCAAGCCCACAGGTCCAATTACATGGGTAGTGGCTTCCTCTGGGTAGTGGCTGTGGCCAAGAAGTGACTACAACCTTGTCCCTTGTCAGCTCTACTATACACCTATTAATTCTCATAAAACATACCAATACACTTGTAGAAACATTGTCTGCCAACCCTATAGATGTTCTTGGGCACACTCCCCCCTGCATAGACATATGTAATAGTTCAGCCCATCCCCCTATCTATCTACCCATATACCCGTATTTACCCTTCACTGACAACACAGTACTGCATGTGAAAATTTTGACAATTTCTTAAATACAGAAAAAAATGCTATGAATAAAAGTGAAATGACATAAATACAAGCAAATGATCAGCTGGGAAACATATTGCATTGTACCAGAGAGACCAAAGTTAATATTTTTGATATGTTAAGTGATGCTAGAAATCAGTAAATGAATGTTTGATATTAAAATTTAAATTATTTATAAATAGGATTGTTGTTGTTATGTGCCGTCGAGTCGGACCCGACTCATAGCGACCCTTCCTTGGGTTTCCGAGGCAGTATCACTACGAAAGTAGATTGCTCCATCATCCTTCTGAGGAGTGGCTGGTGGGTTTGAACTACCAGCCTTCTGGTTAGCAGTCAAGTGCCTTAGGCACTATTCTACCAGAGCTCCTATAAATAGGATTATAAATGGTTAATTTGTAAAACAAAAATCAACCCCAACAGTAATAATGGAAATATAAACAGAGAGCAATCATCTCTTGTTGTGCTGCAAAGTCCCATGTCTGTATAGAATTTACTTGGCAAGTATTTGAATATTCTATTGCACTTTGCTTACTATTTTATAAATAATGAAAATGAAAATGTAGATATTAGAGATAAACACAGACATTTTAAATCGCAAATTATTGTGAAAATATATTTTTTTAAAAATAGAAAAAAGCCAATCTTGAACTTATAGTGCATACTCTTGCATACTCATTATATTTAATTCCGTTAACAGTGTATCCAACTGGGGAATGAGGAAGAAATTTAAAGAACATGAATACAATGCCAGAACCAAGTTCCCAAAGCATATGTTTAAAATATAAAGTATAATTAGTATTTTATAATATATTTTGGGTCTCTGGGAAACAAAAACCCTCATAAAAATCAGCCTATTTTTATTTATTTATTTTTCATTCTTTTTTTTTTAATCATGATTTGGGTGAAAGTTTACAGAGCAAATTGGCTTTCCATTCAAAAATTCATGTGCATTTTGCAATTCATACGCATTTTGTTTTGTGACATTCATTGTAACAACACACTTCACACATCTTCCTTGTATTTACTATTTCCCTTCATCCTATTCTATCCCTTCCTGCCTTCTTAACTTTAATCTCTGGGCAACTGCCTCTGTTTTGATCTCGTGTGTTAGATTGTTATAATGAGTGCCTACCTCCTTGGTATTACTGTTCACCTTATAGATGATCTATCTATTCTTTTGGCTTAAAGTTAAGCCATGGGGGTTGTGTTCAGTTCCAGGCTTGAAGGTATGTAAGGGCCATAATCTCAGGGGTTCCACCAGTCTTCATCTGACTGGTAAACTTGGTCTTTTTATTTATTTAAACATTTTGAGTTTTGTTCCACATTTTCTCCCACTCTAGCCATGACCTCCTATTGTAAACCCTTTCAGAGAAGTTAGCAGTGGTAGCCAGACACTATCTCGTTCTTCTGGTCTCAGTTTCTTGGAGGCTGGGGTTCATGTGGTTGATTAGCCCTTTGGACTAATTGTTTCCTTGCATCTTTGATTTTCTTCACTCTTTCCTGTGAATTGGGAGAGACCGGAGGAGTCCGCTCCAAAGCTTTTAAGATCTCAGTTGCTACTTATCAAAGTAGGATATAGAACATTGTCTTTGTAGACCATGTTTTGCCAATTGACCTTAGGACCTAAGACGATGGTCCTGAGTCCCTATGCCCAGCAACTCATTCACTCAAGGTGTTCGATTATGGCTAAGAAATTTTCATATCTTTGCCCTATGTATACTCCGCTATATTCATGTATTTGCCTTAAACACTCTGTCACCAGAGATCCTTTATATATAGTTGTACATATGAATACACATGTAGAAATATTCTCTGTAAACCTATATATATGCATGAGTGCAGTTCATTTGCCTTCCTATATCTGTTCAGCTTGAGTGTCTACCTATGTATCCACTCATAGATTATTGTTATTACTGTTATTACAGGATTGTGAATGTCGTAGTATTTACCTTTGTTGCCCTTCACTCTTGTGCTCTTCTCAGTGTCTTCATTTACCTCAATTATTTTATGCTGACTTATCCCTTATGGTATATTGCCTTTCCCTTCACCCAAGTAAACACATATCTACCCTCCAGTTAATGACTTAGCTTCCCTTTCTCTTTTACCCTTGGTAAACTTCAAAGAATGATTCTTTCTGTGTTTAAACTTTTTCTTGGCTTTGTACAGTGTGGTTTCATATAATATTTTTCCTTTCGTGATTGACTAATTTACTTAGTATAATGTCCTCTAGGTTCATCCATGTTATGAGGTGTTTTGCAGATTCATTGTTATTCTTTAATGTTGCATCATATTCCATTGTGTGTATATACTATAGTTTGTTTATCCATCCATTCATTGATGGGCAGTTGT